AATATATACTATATACTATATAATATTATATATATATATATAATATATATATAATCTATAATATATAATACATATTATATATTATATAATATAGAACATAAAATATATAATATGTAATATATACTATATAATATATAATATATACTATATACTATAAACTATATACTATATACTATATACTATATACTATATACTATATAATATATAATATATAATTACACACACACACACACCACACACGGAGTCCTCCCAGCAGTCCATGAAGGAGTGGTCCCCCGGATCGGCACTTCGGGAAACAAGGTGCCTCTTGATTCAAGCGGGGGCTTTTCGAGGAGCTAGGGCAGGTTGCTTCTGGATTTAGGGAGTAGCGTTTACCCTAAACACTACGCCTTGAACTCTAAGACTCATCCCGAAACCCTACACACTGAACCCTTTGCCTCTGCAAACCCCCAACTCCGTTTGAGAGTTTAGCTTTGCACCAAGATGACTGTGGCTGTTTGCCAAATCGAGAATCAGCCAGGGTCGGGTCGTACTTCTGAAGATTTCTATTCGGCGGAGCTGAGATCCTTGAATCTTACCCCAAAGCCTCAAACCCAAGCCTAATCCCTAGACCCTAAACCCGAACCCTAGACCCAAAATCCGAGTTGCTCTCTCATGGCAGGCAAGGCATTGACAAAGCCCGCATGCGACTCACGGAAGCCTCCCAAACAGTGAAACGTCATTTAAAGAATTTATATGTTTCATCAGGGGCTTACGTTGGGAAGAAAAGTTCTAAAAGGGTTCTACAACGGCTTTGGGCTGGAAGCAAGCACCTGATTACTAAACCGCTCTTGCTTCAGGGCCAGAATAGAGGTTTAGGGTTTAGAGTTTAGAGTTTAGGGTTAGTTGCTAGAACTCCACAAGTCTTTTTGTCGCGATTGCAGGCTTCACTTCCGACTTCAGACCTCCCGAGTTTCACAGATCTTGAGACAGCCAGGAAAACTAATACAGGGGCCTAAATAATTACCAATACTTTTGGACGTTCCCTATTGTAACTATAGACTCTAGTATAATAGACCCTACATTATCAGATGCCTCGCACAAACTTGAACCCAAGCCAAAAGAAGCCCCAACAAACTCGCGCTGTAGCTCCACCGACAGCTCCGGAATGCTGCACCGTAAACCCCGGCTTTGCCCGGACATGGCTTTGTGGGGCTTCAAAGCTTTGGGAGCTCAGGGCGCGCTCGAACCAGAGTTGACGCCTGGCACTCTTATCAGGGTAATATACTATAACAAACTCTATACATAAACATATATATACACACACACACTACTCTACTCCACCATACCCTACTCTGCTCTACTATACTATACTATCCTATACTTCTGACTCGGGATTAGGGGACGTAGGGCCAAGCATGTTTCGGGCCTGGGGCTTGGGCCCTGGGCCCCTGGAGACTTGGGCTGCGCCTGGTTTGGAGTGGACCTTCGACCTTGGGCCTGGGGATGCCTTTTGGGCCCTCTTAAGGGTTTAGGTTTCAGGGTTTAGGGGTTTGGAGCCTTGGGCCTAAGGATGCCTTTTGGGCCCGTTTACGGAGATCCTGATGGAGGGGAAAACGATGTCTAACGACGGCCCATATGCCCTGCACCCTGAACCCCAAACTCACAGCCCAACTCTAAACTGGGGTACGAGGGCTGTTGACACGGCCGGCGGGGCTTTGATTCGGAACTTCTCGGAACACGACGAAGAAACTGAGTTGCTGTCTGCACAAACCAATCAGATTACGGGGCTTGGCGCTCTGGCTTTAGGGTTGGGCAGTTGGGCTGTGTGGCTTGCTTCTTCGAAAAGCCTAAACCCTAAACCCTAAACGCCCTAAACCCCTAAACCCTAAACCCTAAACCCCTAAACCCTAAACGCCCTAAACCCTAAACCCTAAACCCTAAACGTGTCGCACCTGGGGTCTCTCGCAGGCGCTCCAGCCACCTGCGCACGGCCGGAAACGCGGCCAGGATCTCATTCACATCCGGATCGACGTCCATGGCCTTAGACATTGGGGGGCTCCTGATTGTGATTATTCGTTATTATTTTGCTATTCTTACTATTCTATTCGAATCATTAAGGCCTCCTCAACCATCGAAACCAGGCCTCAAGCGAAAAGCCCCCTGCGTCAGAGCGCCGTCAGATCCGGTGCAATGGCGATGTCGGCCGCTGTGAGCCGCCCTCCCACAAGGAAGTGGCCGGACCCGATGAATTCCTGCTTTTGGTTCAGGGCTGATGAGGCGTACGTGGCTTGTAGGGCTTATGGGGCTAATAGGGCATGTAGTGTAGCACTTACATGGTCTAGGGTGCAAGGTCTTTCGGGGCTCCAGGCTGCAAGCTTAACTCTACGCTCCAAGCCCCAAAAACCCTAAATCCCAAGCCTAAACCGCCAAAAAAACTCTGCGAGTCCAACCCCCAAAAAACCTCCCAGACCTCGGCACTCCAAAGTCCTGAACCTGTAGAGAACCGCTTTTTCGAACCAAAGCTCTTGTAGATCCCTCAAAGATCCTTCAACCCTATACTTAGACCCTGACATAGAAGCCTTCATAACTAGAATAGAATGGTCGGGTATTTTTTATCATACAGTTATAGAGGGGCTTTACGGAAGTATCATTGCTAAATTATTCCCTCAGTCCTAAACCCTAACCCCCGAACCCTAAACCCCTGCAACACTCAACCCTAAACCCTAAATCCAAAGCCCAAACCTGTTATTATTCTTATTATTATTATTATTACTACTATTATTACTATTACTATTATTACCCTGTGTTGAAACAGCCGTCCTCCAGCTGCTGCAGGGACTCGGCGAAGTTTGCTCTCAGCTCTTCCACCTGGGCCTTTTGGGGCCGGGGATGTTTGGCCTCGCCGACATAGAAGGGGATGTAGTACCTGGTTTGGGGTTTTGGGTGTAGGGTTTAGGGTTTTGGGTTTAGGGTTTAGGGCCTTAGGGTTTTGGGTTTTGGATTGTTTGGGGTTTATGGCTAGATGTTTAGGGTACCTTTCTGCTGCCACGGGGGCGGGGGGAGCATTGCGGTTGCGTAGTTCTGCAGATTTACCGCCGCTGCTGCAGCTGCTCCTGCTACTGCTACAGGAGCAAGAGCGTCACGGAGACACCTTTCTAAAGCTTCTACGGGGTTCAAAGGAGCCCTGTGCGTGATGACCTTTCACCTTCGGCGGGGGAAGCCTTTGGCGACTTCGTTTGAGATTCTTGTGTCTCGGAGCTTTGGGCTTCAGGGCTTTAGGTTCCAGGGACTCTGGTTGGATTCCGAGCTAGACAGCTGGGTAGGGCTCGCAAACTGGAAAGGGAGGTGAGGCCGACGGGTCTCGAAACCCTGAGACTTGGCCTGATGCTGCCATCGACGCTACGCTGCCCTGAAACGAGTCATGAATTCCCACAATCCCCAAACCAGAAGTCACAGGGACAAAAGCCGAACTTCTGCGTAAATCGCAGTCCGAGTTCTGCGTTAGCTAACCCGGCATCTTCTCACACCTGCTCAGCTACACTGGCAAGTTGTGGTTCAGCATCACGGTCTTGCGGACCGCGTGGTGGTGCCAGGAGAGCAGCATGGAGATTCGCGCCCGCTCCTCCAGGGACTTCGGAGTTGGTTCGCAGAGACCGCAACCCAAACCCCGAGCTCAACCTTTAAACCCTGAACGCCAAACCGTACACAGGCCTGAAAACGCTACGTAGACGCTTTCAAGCCGGTTTACTGTTCGGAGTCTTCGCTTCTTTTGGAGGTGCGGTCTGGGGCTTTGGGGTTCAGAGGATGATCTTCCGGGGCAAGCCCAAGACAAGGAGGCGCCACCTTGGGTTTAAGAGCTCAGGGCTGTTTTGGGGGCTTCCGGGCGCCTGCTCCGGGGGAGTTTCACGATGTCAGGGCGTCGCCCGGAACAAAGGCAAAGAGCGAGCGCCCTGAGCTCGCAAATCAGTGCCTCGTTACGGTTCAAGGTGGAAGACGCCAGAGGTTCGCAGAATTGGCTCTGGGGGGAACACCCTACACACTTCTACTTCTATTGTGCTTTGGGTCTGTTGCGAGCTTAGGGGGACAAACACCTCAGCGGCCAGAAGCCTTATCAAACCCTGGCAAGACTGTGGGAAATACAAAACCAACAGAACCTCCCCGAGCCCTGGGCCCCAGGTAACTACCCTAAACTCTAAACCGCCTTGACTCAAGGGTCCGAATATTGGTAGGGTTTGGGTTTAGGGTTTAGGGTTTAGGGGTTTAGGGTTTGGGGTTTAGCGGTCCCCACGGGATGGCCCATATAACCCTGAACAAGGGCTGAGGCTTCGCAAGACGGGATCCTCGAGGCTCTCACCGAACCATGGGTCCAGAACGCCATGCAGCTCGCAAAGGTAGCGCATGATGGCCTTGGGCAGCCAGTCTAGCATAGGGGTCTGAAAACCTAGTACATAATCGCGTCCCCTCGTGCTCCCGAACATAACTATGTACAATGTAGCCCAAAAAACTATTCAAAATGTTAAAAATGTTTCAGGCATGAACCCTCAACCCCAACCCCTAATCCCTGAACCCTGAGCCCTCATCCCTAACCCCAGGCCCTAAACCCCTAAACCCCCTAAACCCCTAAACCCCTAAACCCCCTAAACCCCCTCACCCCCCTAAACCCCTAAACTCCAAAACCCCCTAAACCCCCTAAACCCCTAAAATCCTGAACCCCTAAACCCCTAAACCCCAAAACCCCTAAACCCCCAAAACCCCCTAAACCCCCTAAACCCCCTTAAACCCCCTAAACCCCTAAAGCCCCTAAAGCCCCAACATCCCTAGGAGTGGAAATCGGGAGCCTGCCTGCGCCTCACTCAAAGCAAACTGCCCATGGAGCAGAGCCGGCACCTGCACCGAAGGTGCAGGGCTTTTGGGGGTTTAGGGCTTTTGGGTTTAGGGAACAAGGGGATTCAAAAGGGGTTTAGGGTTTAGGGAAAGGGTGGATAAAGGGGCGATTTATAAGGGTTCTATAAGGGTTCTATAAGGGGTCTATAAGGGTTCTCTAAGGGATCTATAGGGTTTAGGGTCTTGGGGTTTAGGGCTTTTGGGGGTTTAGGGGTTTAGGGGTTCAGGATTTTAGGGGCTTAGGGGGTTTAGGGGGTTTTGGAGTTTAGGGGTTTAGGGGTTTTGGAGTTTAGGGGTTTAGGGGTTTAGGGGTTTAGGGTTTAGGGTTTAAGGGTTTAGGGGTGGCAGGGGGGGGTTAGAGAAACAAGCGAAGTCTGGAGAGTCTCGAACGGACAGGCTTTGAGGCGGATAGACATAGATATAAGACCGAGATAAAGACAGAGGTAGAGATAGAGCAGCAAGCAGATAGATTCGATAGAGGTGCAAATCACTCAGAAATCCGAAAGGGACAACGCCAAACCCCGAAACCCCGATGTCTCGCCCACTGCGCGCCCGAGGCCCTGCCTGGTGCCGAGGGTTCACACGAAGAAAGGCCTCTTGGCCTCAGTTCCATACAGCTTCCGGGCCAGGGTCTCAAAACTGCGGGTTTAGGGCTTTAGGGCTTTAGGGGGTTTGGGGGCTTAGGGTTTTTAGGGTTTAGGGATTTAGGGTTTGGGCTTTTGGGGGTTTCAGGATCTAGGGATGAGGGTTTAGGGGTTTAGGCATCGTGAGGGCTAAGAGCCAAGACTTATTTAGGGGTTGCCAAGCCCTCAACCCCCAAACTCCGCGATCCTCAATTCGAAGGATGCTCAGAGGCCCCTATAAGGCCCTAAAATAGATAGATTGCTAGATGGAAAGATAGGCAGATGACGGATAGATAGAGGTGCTTGGAAAGAGATGGATAGATCACTAAATGTCAGAAGTTAGCCCTTTCATAGATCTGCTTGAAAGCCTGCTTGCTGTGAACCCGTCCGACCTTGCAAGGACACTTCCCGAAGTACAAGGCTCCATGTGGGGAAAACTCACAGTCAGGAGCCAACTCTAAACCCTAAAACCCTAAACCCTAAAACCCTAAACCCCAAAACCCTAAACCCTAAAATCCTAAACCCTACTAAAAACCTAAACCCTAAAACCCCAATACAACTTTGCTGATTCGACTTGCAACATCGAAACTCGTCGTGTCAGGGCCCCCCTGATCTTCAAGTCCCGAAAGCCCTCCCACGCTAGGATCCTTCCCAAAGCCCAATGCATTCCTGCGATACAGCGACCTCTCTCTGTAAGAAGCAAAAAATGTCCCTTGAGCCTCGCTCCTCGCTAAGCCCCTGGATCAGGAAGGACGTCCCCTATAGAAAGACTCTTCTTTCGGATCCCAGCTCTTATTAGCAGCAGTATCCGGCTGTAGTTTGCATATGCTTGCACTTGAAGGTGCCCCCAGAAAGCTATTCTAAACCTTTAAGATTTAAGGCCCCTATACCCCCCAAATGATCTTATCTGAGTCTCATCTTCGGAACCTTTTGCTTGAAACCCTCAAACCAGCCCGGCCACGGTGATGGCCACGGCCGAGCCACGTGGCGCGAAGTCGGAGGGGCTGAGGGGCTGAGGGGGGCTTCTCGAGGATTAGGGTTTAGGGTTGAGGGTTCAGGGTTTAGGGTTTGGCGTTTGGGTTGAGGCTTCAACACTGGCTCAAGCTGCAGCAGCCACAGGAGTTGAGTGCTGCCAGGGTTCCCAGCTTTCGGATGTAGAGCATCAGACACTTTGTAGATTTCTGCTTTGAAGTTGTTTCGGGAGCTTCTCTTCAAGGTGAGCTGAGCAGCAGGGGAGGCTTCGACATTCTAAGCTCTGAGCCTTGAGAAGCGCAAGCTTCCTGAAGCAACCCTGAAAGGCCGTCCGAGCAGCGATGCCAGCGGCCTGGCAGGAGAGGCCGGGAAACAGGTGAACCTAATGTAAACCCTGAAAACCGGTGTCCGGATTATATCCAGATATATTCCTAATGCCTATGAAAGCAGCAGAACAACCCGGTGAGAGATCCCTTGCAGACCCTAGCAGAACCCCTGTGAGCACTAAGCCGCCTTAACCCTAAATCCTAAACCCCTGAACCCTAAACCCCCGACCCCAAACCCGAACCCCTGAAGCCTCAACCCACAACCCCAAACCGTAACCCCTGAAGTCTAAACCCTCATCCTCCAACGCCTAACTGACACTATCCCCTGCAGCCTGGGCCCACAACCCACAAACCCTAACACCCAAACCCCTAAATCCACAACCCCCGAACCCCTAAACCCCTAAATCCAACCCAAACCGCTCGAAGCTGCCTTGCAGAGCCAGTGGACAGAGCGGCAGGGCTCCGAAGTCGGGTCCGTAAAGAGCACCGGGGAGCTGGGGGCCGCCATGGCCGCGGAGGGACTTGGGGAAATTTAAGGAGTTAGGGGCTTAGGGTTTAGGGGTTTTGGTTGGCTTTAGGGTTCAGCTTTTAGGGGTTTAGTGGTTTAGGGGTTTGGGGATTAGGGTGTAGCTTTTGGGGTAAACTTGGATCTGGCTTGGCGGTTGTTTGACCCCAAAACTGGTTCCTAACCTAAGTATACTCCCATGTCCCCAAACCCGATTTCAACGATTCAAGCCCCTGTGCTGCGGTTTGTTGGTGGCTTGCGAAAAGGGAAACTGCGAAGTTGGCCAAGGACCCCCTCTGATTCTCAGGGCGTCGGGAGGCCGGAAGCGGAGATCACGAAGCCCCAGGGGGCTTGGGCCGAAGCCTCTCAATGCTGCTCGTGCCTTCGATCTGTCTTACCTCCCCGAATGTTGCCCTTTTGAACGTTGCATTCTAGGTACATGCTACTGTCTCTATGATGTATTGCAGCTTTGCTTTGTGCTTCGCAAATTTGGCCTCTCATTTGCGGGAGGACACCAGGCTGCCGACTCGAAAATCAAGGCCGACTTCCCGGGGCTTATAGGGCTTTTACCGCCCGAGAGCCCCAGGCCCTAAATCCCTAAACATCCCTAAACCCTAAACCCTAAACCCCTCAACCCCTAAACCTCAAACCCAAAACCCTAAACCCTAAACCCTACATCCCTAAACATCCCTAAACCCTAAACCCTACCTTAATGCCCTGTGGAGCCTGCACTCCAAAGCCGAAGGCTTCAGCCCTGAACTCTCGGCCAACCCTGGCTCTGGATGAGGGTTATTGTACAGAGGGGGGTTCGTTCTCTATACTCCGGGCCCCTAACCTAGAACCCCAATCCCCAAACCCTAACCTCAAACCCTAAACCCTAAACCTGGAGCCCAAGAAACCCTCAGAATAGATTCGAGTTCAGCGCAACTTCCGCATCCCCCAAGCCTTCTCGCCACGAGCTCGCTGCAGGGCCTTTTCGTACGCCAGCTCCTTCACTCAGGGATCGATAGATACTGTAAGGGCTACTCTGACGGTTCTCATACCCCTTGCCATGAAACCCTAGGCCTTGCCATGTCGCGAAATCCTCCTGCCACCGACGCCCGGAATCCTCTTGCCTGAACCCCGAAACCTCGGACCCAAGAAACAAGCTGAGAGCCTGGGCACCCACCCAAGTTTAGGATTTGGTTTGTTTTTTCTTTTGAGCACCTTTTTCCGCCTCACCAATCCAGCTTTGGATTGGTTTAGAATAGGGTTTGGAGTTTAGCCGAGCGGAGGTTTTCGCTGTGAATAAAGGGTAAAGGGGGGGTCGGGGGAGTTTCGGATTCAGGGCTGACTGCCGACCGAGGAGCCCAGTTACCCCTTTAGGGGCCATGATTCAACTTCAGGGTTTGGGGAGATCGGTTTGGAAACGAAGGTCCCTTCTGAGGGATCCTTATCCAAGGGAGTCACCCGGAAGAGCACCTTAAGTTGGAGCAACCCCCTGGTACTCCTAAGTTCGTATTAAATAAAAGGGCCCGCGCATAAGACAAAAGCCAACTGATGTCATCACTTCCCTGTCTTCGCTTGCGTGGTGTTTTGTCGACCGTGATGACGATTCCGCCGGCGACGACTATGACTACAGCTACGACTAACCCAAAACACCCGCACTCCCTCAAAAATCCTTAAGTTATCCTGATGGAAGCCTGCAGAATTCACAACATGCTCCGTAAAAAACGAAACCCTACACCCTCCTAAACCTTAAACTCCGAAACTCCTAAACCCTGAACTCCTAAACCCTAAACTCCTAAACTCATAAACCCTGAACTCCTAAACCCTGAACTCCTAAACCCCAAAACCCTCAACCCTAAACCCTACTCAAACTCCGATACCCCAAACCCTAACCTTTCCTAAACCCTTGAAGCTTGTAAACCTCAAGACCCCCCTCCCCGCCCGGCCTTCCGGAGCTCCTCGCCCTTGCCTCGGAGCTCGGCCTCACGCAGCTTTGCCGCATCCGCCTGCGGGCTCTCAGGGTTTAGGGTTTAGGGTTTAGGGGTTTAGGGTTTAGGGCACTCTTCTTCTGACCTTTTTGGGGTGTTTGGGGTTTAGTAGGGTTTTGTTTTTTTAAGAGCAATGGCTTTTTCTCCACGCCAGCCGCACAGGTCCGAAGGGTTTATAGGGTTTAAGGTTTAAGGATAGTTTGTAAAAGGCTCTATCCATGGATTCCGTGAGGGTTTGAATAGTCGAAACCCTAGCAGTTCCTAAGAAACGTCCCGGGAGCCTAAACCCGCCGCCCTGGCCCTGGCAGCCCATCGCCTCCTGCTTCCTCAGCTCGGCCTGCAGCTTCTTCACCTCCCACGACACAGGGCTATAGGGGCGATTCTAGGGAGGGGTTGAGGGGGTATTGAAATGAAGGCTCAGGGGTTCGATTCGGATGCTTTTTAACAGAAGCTGCGAGGTATTTTCGGTGTAAAGATCTCGATCCTTCCATCGGGGTAAAACAAGGATCTACGTGGCTTCAAGGCATGAGGACCTTGATCATGCTGACAGCAACTGCAGTACCCGGTAGAATCTTGGGGTTGCTGGCGGTTGCTTTGTGCCTGCAATAGTGGAACCCGAAATCATCAAGACCCCAAGGCTAAGCCCCAAAACCCTAAAACTCAAAATGCCTGACGACGTGAGCCCCAAAGCCCCAAACCTTCGAAGCACCAACAAACCCCTGTCTCGGGCCTCAGAACCTTTGGGAAAGCTTCGCCAAAACCCCCCAACCCTAAAGTAAGAAAAAGCCTCCACCCTAAACCCTAAACCCCTAAACACCTAAACCCCTAAACTTAGCCTAAACCCCTGAACCCCTAAACCCAAAATCCCAAAACCCCTAAACCCCTACATCCTAAACCCCAAACAGGCACCGACATCGCCCGGCCTTCCGCCCACGCTGGCCAACGCCGGCCTCGAAGGGCAGACCCGACGCCTCAGCCTGGGGCCGTGCTTCGAAGGGTCTTAAGCTTTCTGGTTTAGGGAGTTTAGGGAGTTTAGGGAGTTTAGGGTTTAGGGGGGGTTTAGGGGTTTGGGGGTGTAGGGGCTT